ATTCATTATGTCTTGAAGCTGATGCTGTTAGAGATTTTGAAGTCTCAGAAGTTAGTCAAGAAACATGGTCTGAAACAGCAACAATGGTAGCATCTGTAATGAGACTTGTTGACAATGATGCTTTAAAACATACTGAAACAGCTGTAGTGACACGTTGTGCACTTTCATTAATTGTTGCTGGAATAAAATATGGAAAACCAAACAAACCATCTAAGGGAGTTTTTGGGATTGATAATGAAGAGGATTATATTCCAAACAATTTTAATGAAGTTTATCAACAACTTCTTAAAGGAATTGAAGATGATACTCTTAAACATTCTAAAATAACATCAAAACCTTATTTTATTCCACATTTTGGGTTATTACCATCATTAAATTTATTATCAATAGAGTCATTAAAAACAAATAATGAAATATCTCAAATGACTGCATTTTTAGAGGAAATTCATTTTATCTTAAAAAGAGGTGTTAGAATAAATGATCATTTCTTGACATTATTACAATTAATTAATATTGCTAAAGAGTTGTTTACCACTTTAATTAAATACACTCCATCATATATTGACGATTACTTGGATATGCATAATATTGAAATGTGTGCAATGAAACTCAGTAAACAAGGTTTGACTGGTCAAAAAATTATTGATTCAATCATTTTTGAAGTTGCAGACAATCCACTTAGTGATAAAGTCATTCATTGGTTAACTAAAATACGAGATTTGAATCATTGTTATTCAATTTGTTTGGATGTACTTTCAGACAGTGTTAAAGGGGATGGTGTGCTTCAAGAATTAAGAGGTCAGGTGGTTGTTCCATTATATTTTGCATCTGTTCTTCAAGGACTAATTGATGTTGATACTACTATCACGAGGGAGTATGTTCATCGTGTAATTGATTTGACAGTGTCTGATGCATTGATGGTGTCTCGATGCTCAGCACCATTAGTGATTGTTCATGAAGCAGAACGTTTATTAAGAGAAACACGACCAGATATTGCACGAGCATTACGTGGAGAAACACCTACAAGTACACCAGCATTGAAAGAATTTAAAGGGATAGAAGTAACATTACAACTCCTTTCTTCAAAACAAGAATTATCAGAATTGTTCTATCAATCATTATTTGATATTTTTCAACCAATGCCAATATCATTAATTGAAGCTATAACTTATAGTTGTTTAAAATGTGAAAATAGAAGATGTTTAGAAAATATTCTTGGAAAAGAATTACCTCATGACTATGGCGAATTATTTGATATTCTTTCTGAATTATTACCAAAGAAGACTCCATCCAAAAGTTATATCACTATTCAAACAATTAATGACTTTTGGAAAATACAACATTTCTTTGATAAACGATTACCTGCATTGAGAGATTCAGCACGAAATAAAGATCATAATGGTCAACTAATGTTATACATCACTAAGAAACAACCACATAGCATTGTTGCTTATTTACATCATGAGTTTCTCTTAAAGTTCATTCCAACTATTCCAAAAAATCATATTTTATTTGACACTGATTTTTCTAAAATTCTACAAGACGAATTATGGGGAAATCAAACACCTCCAGTCAATTCAAATAAACAAGCATTACAATCTCTTGTTTCATTACAATCATTATTACCAATTTCTAATTATTTGAAAGATTCATTTATTCAAAGACTCTTAGAAGCAGAAGAAACAGAATTAGTTTTGTCATGTCTTCTCCACCCATTCTATTTTATCACTTTTGCATTAGACAATCCAATAACTCTTCATATAAACCATTCAACACATTATGTAGAAACACACTCATTCCATTTCATAAAAGAAGATGTTTTGAATCAAATTAAACTAAAATTCAATCAAAACCCATTGAAATACATAAGAGTTCTTGTTGCTTGTCTCCCACAATTCAAACCAAATGATCTTTACTCAATTTATCAAATAAGTCTTAATGTTCTTGGTGGACGATCTGATTCAATTCTTGTACAATACATCCAGGCATCAGTGTCTGCAATGTTGTCAGTCTGTCCTGAATATTCAACACCTCCACCACATTCTATCATGTCAGTTATTGCTTTTGAACATTCGTTAGTTTTTATTTCACAATCATTATTATCTCCAGCAACAAGAGCAACCATTGTTCAAGAGCTTCATGAAGTTCTTCAAGGGGTTGTTGGAGAAGGAAGG